TGGGCGCAGAGCAGTGTGACTAGATCTGAGTGGTCTCTGTCCTCTGGGAAGGTAATTAAGCCGAAAATTCGCAGCACAGTGTGAAAAGTGCTGTGAACTGGAAAGCAAGGACAGATCCCAGGTTGGGAGGGTCCGTGAAGCATCCATTATGACTTCTTTCTGTATAATAGGAAGGAAAGAGGACAGGAAGTATGAAGGTTCACTTTGATTGGGTTTTTTGTTTGTTTTAACCTTTTTATAGTGAAAAGTTCCCATTTGATGGCTTCTAATTCCTCTGTGAATAGCCGGTCCAGCACATATGCTGAACAGATGAGAGGACGGAGAAGTTTTAGTAAATAGTTTTGAGTAGATGGGAGAGAGAATTGACAAAGCAACCAAATAAGCTCCCCAGGAAAGGGAACTTTGCATGTTTCCATCACTGGTGTGTCCCAAGTGCATAAAAGAGTGCCTAGCACATTGTAAGCACTGGAGGAGTAATGGATTATTGTGGATTAATAATGATTATTTTCAGTGTTGGAGCTGACAATTAGTTGTGGAACTTGTATTTATGGTGGTACCAATATACTTAATTGTGTGATTTTCTCCAGGAGGAATTGGCTTCTTGTTAGAAGGCAAGTCTAGAAAAGTAGAGAGTTGGATTTTCTGGCCTGAAATATGGAAGGAGAATGGGTAGGCTGTTTGGAGTGCAGCTGTTTAGTTTTGTAGTTGTGAGGGATCATGAAGCCTACCTTGGAGACGGAGGAAATGCAGACAAGAGGTTAATGGATAGACAGAGAGAAAACTCAATGGCTTGTAGTTCCTGATTTGGTTGAAGAGTTGGCATACTGAGGGCATAAGGTGGAAGGATAGAGGAATGAGATCGAAGAGTGGAATGCCAGACTCTTATTTCAGAAGGCAGAGGTGTTCCTGCTGATAAATTCTTGAGTGTGGCCATAACTAAACTGAAATGGAGGTAAGGGACTCTTAAGAGGAGACAGTGTAGACAGTGGAAGGTAAGGTTATTGGCTGGTCTGTCTGCATGGATATTGGGGCCTCCCACTGATTCCCCTCACCTCAAGTTCTCTGCCCTGGGCCCCATCCCACTCTTACTCCTCCCAGGGCCTCCACAGAATCAGCATTCTCCCAGCAACTCTACACTTCAATCAGTGACATAATTCTCGACAAGAAGAAGTGTGGCTGTGAGAGACATCTGTTTTGTTTTTATTTTGACATCCAGCATTCACTCACCTTCTAGAAATATTCCCTCTATTGTTTTCTGAGGAACTAACCCCATTCTTCAGTCTCAGTCTGCGTGCAAGTGGCGTTATCTTTCCTCAGCACTGTTTTTTTTAAGGGTGAGTATGTAATTTAGGTTGTCCAAAGATCGTTCCATGCCTCTGGCAACAGTGATTAATCAGGGATGGGCATGTGACCCAATTGGAAACTAAGGCACAATGGGACTTTTGAAGGGACCAGTGGCAGAAGCAACCCATTTTCAGCTGCACTTGAAGCTTGGAAGATGCAGAACTTGTCAGCCACAAAGTCTTAAAATGAAGCTATCTCGGAATATAGAGCCGAGAGATGGATAGAAACTGAATCCCGATGGCATCAACTGAGGCTCAGCATCAACCCTGCTCTCTGAAACCAGCCTTCCTCCCAAACTTTTCAGGAACCTGAGTCAACACATTCTCTTTTGTTTAAAAACCAAACCAAATCTGTTGCTGTCTAGTTGATTCCAATTCATAGAGACCCTATAGGACAGAGTAAAACTGCCCTATAGGGTTTCTAAGGAGCAGCTGATGGATTTGAACTTTCAACCTTTGGTTAGCAGCCCTAGCTCTTTTTTCTTTAGGTTAGATGAATTGTATTTGCTGTCATTTACGTCTGGGAGGCACAAACAGTTAAGTGCTCAACCACTAGCTGAAAGGTTGGTAGTTTGAACCCACCCAGAGGCACCTCGGAAGACAGGCCCGACGATCTGTTTCCAAAAGGTCACAGCCTTGAAAACCCTATGGAGCAGTTCTACTCTGCACACATGAGGCTGCCATGAGTGTGAATCAACTTGATGGCAAAGAACAACAACAACAACATTCCAATGATTCCTCACAATATAAGGGGACTCTCCATCCCTGGCTTCTTCTGTGCTAGCTCACTAAAATTATTACCTTTTCTGTGTCTCAGATTGACTTTCTTTAAAAGAGAACAAAAATAGCTACTTTAAAGATATCAGGAGCCCTGGTGGTGCAGTGGTTAAGCACTGGACTGCAAACCAAAAGGTTGGCTGTTCAAACCCACCAGCCGCTCCACAGGAGAAAGATGTGGCAATCTGCTTCCATAAAGATTACAGCCTTGGAAACTCTATGGGGCAGTTCTGCTCTGTCCTGTAGGGTCGCTATGAGTCGGAATTGACTCGATGGCACACAACAACAACAACACTTTAAAGATACCTACTGCCTGTAAAGATTGAATGGGCTAACATATGTAAAAGCATGAATTTGTCCTACAACACAGAAGTGCAACAAGCAGTATTTTATTTTTCTAAATTAAATTAATCTGGCTTGAAGACCCCATTTTAAAGAGTAGGAAGACACCCAATATTAGTCTTATTGCCTCATCCATCTGAATGGAAGCAAGTATCTGGGTACCAGGTATGAATTGTTATGTGACCCCCAGCCGGTAACTCAGTCCTTTTAAGTCACCACATGTCCCTTGGTTAGAAGTCCTTGGGTCATGGGTATGTGGAAAACACCACCAGAATGGGAGTGACATGCACTAAGTTCCCTGGTACTGCCTTTTCTACAAATTAGGTGATTCATTCTCTCTGATATTCAAGCTATGCAAACCAAATTTGTAATTATAGTGTGTTATATTAAATGTATTAATCAGAGGCCTCAGTTTAAAAGGCCTTAAGGAGCTCAGTCCTGCCAACAACTATGTACGTGAGCATGGAAGTGGATTCTTCCCCAGCCAAGCCTTCAGATGAGACCCCAGCCTCAGCTGAAAACTTTCATTGCAGTCTTAAAGAGAACCCAGGTAATCCATGCACAGATTCCTGATCCACAAAACTATGAGATAATAAATGTGTGTTGTTTTAAGCAGTTAAAATTTGGAGTATCTATTACACAGCAGTAGTTAATTAAATACCCCTAAGTCAACCTTGGAGCCCTGATGGTACAGTGGTTAAGAGCTGCGACTGCTAACCAAAAGGTTGGCAGTTCAAATCCACCAGCCGCTCCTTGGAAACCCTATGGGGCAGTTCTGCTTTGTCCTACAGTGTTGCTATGAGTTGGAATCAACTCAACAGCAATGGGTTTTTTTGTTTGTTTAAGTCAAACTTGGAGCCCTGGTGGCAGAGTGGTTAAGAGATTGGCTGCTAACCAAAAGGTCGGCAGTTTGAATCCACCAGCCACTCCTTGGAAACCCTATGGGGGCATTTCTACTCTGTCCTATAGGGTTGCTATAAGTCAGAATCAACTCGATGGTAACGGGTTATAGGTTAAGTCAACCTTCATGTAAGAAGGCAGGCACCAAAATCGTCTACCCCAATTAGGGTGATTATCATGTCTGACAACATCCCTACAGATATTGTCTTCATACCCAAAGACTGTCCCATGTGCTCCTATATTAAAATGATGTCACTGTTCTCAGCAAAGCCCTAAGTAGCCTCAAGAAGGTGAGCGTAGGTGAGGTAGTGTTGAGGGGTGGCCCAAATTGTGTCATAATTAGGAATAATAGGATCATTCTTTTCCCTTATTTTTTTTCTTCTTTCCCCATCCTACCATTATCTTTTCCTTACTCTCTGCCTCATTTTTCCCAAAGTCTAGGTGTATACTTGGTGGCATTCCTGCAAGTGATGGCCAGGTGATATCTTGGTCTTGCAATAATGCCATCAAGCCGGGGTCCTGAAGGGATTTTCTGAGGAATGGCTCTTTATCTTCCTCAAGATGCCCTCACAAGCAGGGAGCCCTCATTAACAAGCTCAAAATGTGCTTTTCAGGCAGAGCAACATTCCACACACAACAGATTATTCCCCCACACCTACCAGGTTCCTAGAACCTGCCCTGGCCAACTGGGTGACCACAAAAGCAGTAATCACCCACGCACTCTCACTCAATGTCCACCCACCTGTGAGATCCTCTAGACTCAGCAAATTTTTCTGAAATGAAAGCCACTGTTTTTCAGGAAAATGTTCCTATCATTGATCCCTTTCAGAGCTCCAAGTTCTGTTCTCCTCACTGCTTCAGAGTATATGAAAGGAGACAAGAAGGCGAAGGGTTAACTTCTCCCATTTTTATTTGGGTAAGATAAGCAGTAGGGGACATGGCCTGTCTCCCCAAACTTCATGAGGTAGAGAAGGGGCTCTTGGGGGCAGATGACATTTATTCCTCCCCAGGCTATCCAGGAGTAAGATTTCTCTGTACCTCTGACCTCAGGGCCTAAACATGCCCTCGTTTCCAAGTCAGAAACTTGCGAGAGGTAGCAAGGGGGATTTCTGACTCAAGTATGCCAGAGTAACTCCTCCGACCATACAGTTGTGTGTAGTTCAGGATAGTGAGGGAGCAGGTGAAAAGATGATTGAACCAAGTACTGGACTTTAAGGGTTTTTCTCCTTTGAAAAGGCTTCAGTGTTTCTACAGTAAACTTTTTGTACATTTTTACTATAATGTTATTTAAAAAAATGAAATGTTTTAAATAGAAAATGTCTGAGTGGGGTCAAATGAAATAAAGGAGCTCAGGATAAGTGTGGGATGCCATTGTCAGGCTCCCTGCAGGGGACTGGTCACTTTTTAGTAGCCAAAGGAGGCAATCAATAAGAGCTGAACTAACTCCTTCCTTTCCCTAAGCACACACCGTAAGATAGCAAAGCCCATACCCCAAACACAGCACCCACAGAAGACACCACTCACACATTAGAGGGAACATTTCTTGGAGAGGATCGATATTTGTGGTTGTGCTAAATAAAGAGTGTTATCATGAAAGATGTGCTACCAAGAAAACAAAATTTTTCAGCAAGTGATGAATTATTCCGGAGAGGGACATTTTTCTCCCTGAAAGTGCTGGAGAAGCATCTTCTGTCTGAAGAGAAGAGACAGATCTCTGATAACAGTGTCTTCAGCAGTGAAGAGGGTGGCCTGAGGCACCTGGCATACTTGATGCATGCCACTGGGATCTTGATGGGACACAGGCTCCCTGGGGGATGGGGAAGGAGGATAACTCTGAGACAATAGCTGGCCCTTGAATCTGTTAATTTTTTGGGAATGTCTGTCCATGTCTCTGATCCGCCTATCACTTGTAGGGCAACTCTGGCCAGCAGTGACAGCTTTTTGGCTGCATAAGTTGGTACCAGACACATCCCTTTGCCCTGGAGAGGAGGGAACCCTGTTGTTGGAGGAAGGCCCCTCAGTGGACTCTGCCTGATCTTGTAGTTCTGCGTTGTGCTGAAGTCCTTGCCTACATCCCAGTTTCTCCTCCAGCATCTCCCCAATGGCTGTCATGAGCTCCTGAGCTTCACAGTTCATACTTTCAACTGGGTCTCGGTGCTGCACAGAGGCCAACATGAACTTCGCTTTTTGCAGGAGACCGTCTTGCCTCTTGGAATGGATCCACTGACAAAACTGCCTCATCTTCTTTCTGAAGAAACTTTCTGGAGGAGACTCTTCCTTCTGTGACAGGGACTGGGAAGAGTTGCTCCCAAGAGTTTCCCCTAATTTCTTGGCCTGGTCAAGATGGCTCTTCCTTCTGGCTTTGGATGTCCCTAATTCCAAATCCTCTCTTCCATACTTTCCTGTTCTGGGTCTCTGAGAGTTCACTCTCTTTGAAGCTGGTGGGAAATTCTTATCCTGGCACTGCCCTAAGACATGCTTAGAGACCCAGAGCTTCTGCCTCTGCCCCATACTGATGCTTTTGTCCTCTACGTGGACATTCAGCCCCTGGGAAGCTGCCATGTACCCACAGGGGACACTCTGGGCATGAGTCAGTAAGGCAGTGGAAGCCAAGCTGTCTGAGGAGGTAAGAGACGTGTCAGTGGAACAGCTCTGAGCCTGGCTATGCTCCTGGCCCTCCAGTTTAACCTTTAACTCACTAATCATCTGTTTCTGAAGGTATGATAGTTCAGGATCTTGAGGAACTGACATTCTTGGCAGTGGTAGGACCTCAGGGATTAGGGTAGTTTTTACTTTACTCGTATCCCCATTTGTCGTTTGGCAGTTGCCTAGCTCTCTCATTGTCAAGGTGTCACTAGATTGTGATTGAAGAGCAAGGAGCTCCTTGGCCTTGAATATCTCCCTGGACACGTTGGTCATGGAAAAATGTTCTAAATTCTCCTCCAGCATCTGTTTGCCCTGAAGGATTTCTCCTGTATCAATGGAACTCACTTGTTTACCCTTTGGCTTATGTCCAGCCCCAGCTTGACTTGTGGGCAGCTCTGAGTTGTGTCTGTTGGGTATTACAGTCTTGCTCTGATTCATTTTGCCCATGATACTGTGTTTGATGGGCAGAAAACCCTGCCTGCCATCCTCATTTGTCTGAAAGTCATCTCTAAGTGCATAATCGATATCAGTGGGTGATTGTTTCAGAGCCTCCTGCCCTTCCTTGTCCACAGGTGAGGTGGCAGGGAGAAGACAATCCAGGATGGAGACTATATTTGTTGTTAACACCTTGTCTCCCTGTAAAGTTTGAGGGCATCCTCCGAGGGGCTTGGAAACCTTGGCTTTGGAGTCCACCCCAGAAACAAGGGAGGCTGAGGAGAAAAAGTCAAATTGTGGAAGAGGCCATGATTTGGCTTCTCTCAATGTATAGAATTTTATGGATTCACGGACCTTGAGAGGTAGGCCCCACTTCTGATTCACTCGAAATCTTACAATATGGGCTTCTAACACCTGTTGAGTGTCAGGATCAAGGAAGGTCAGCTTCAGAGTGGTAATCTGGCAGTATTTCTTATCCACTGATGGTGCCCCATTTCTGTTTTCCGTATCATCATGGGAACTCCCAGAAAGAGACAATGTACTGTCATCAGCAAGCCATGAACGACACACACCTATAGGGATCCTACAGTCATTAATCTGCCAAAATTTCTTGACCAAATGTAATTTTAGGGTCTTTTTCATTTGATCCTCATCTATGTTTTCCTTTGAGATACTTAGTAATTTATTACCTGAGTCTTTCCTTGTGTGACATACACCGTCACCTTTTGTCTCTTCAGAGGTAGCACCCAGGCACTTTGCTATGTAGCTTTCTGAGAACCTTGATGGGTTGTCTTTTGAGTCCTTCCCCGGGCTGTGTCCAAGACTGTTTCCTGTGCCCTTCATTAGAGGAAACTTGGCTGGACTCCTCTCAAGGAAAATTCCTGAGTAACTCAATTCAATTTCCTCCAAATCCTTGCTGCTCTGGCCCTTAAACTCAGAGGGTTGTGAGTGAGCGTGTCTGCGTCTCTGTTGAGTTTCTATTAATCTGCACTGCGGTTGCATCAGTGCTAGGGCCTCTTGTTCCCTATAGGCCTGGAGGCACTTGTGTGGGATTAGCTTCTTTGGAATGTGGAGCACTAGTTTCTCCTGGGGTTCACTGCTGATAGGAAAATGTTCAGGAATGATGGACACCGGAACACAAGCCTGGGAGGACCCGCTGACCAGTGAAAGATTGGGAGCTGGAGGACAAAAGGCTTCTTGAGATCTTTGGAGCACAGGGGCTAAACCCCACAAACTTTCCTGTTCCTTCTTCAATAAGTGCCATTCTAGGTGTTGAAATTCAAGCGAGATGTGGGAATTTGCCTCATTCTGGGGTCTATGGAAACATACTCCACAGGCCCTAATTTGGGATGGAGAAGTGGGTAGGATTGACAGTGAGGGTTGAAGGTACGTTTGGGACTGAATCTGAGTGAGATGCAAAGGCTGGGATTGGGACTGTGTTGTAAGCAAGTGTTGGGAATGTGTACTAGGGAGGGCAAGGGGATGAGTCTTGGAATGTGGTGGGAGTTCTTTATCCTGCATTTGAACTCTGAGGAGTTTGCAGATTCCATTGAATAAAACAAATGGAGATTCTGGTGGAGAACAGCTACCAGACACCAAGACAGTAGCCACTAGGGACTCACTGTGCAGAGAGGGTAGACCCCAGAAAAGCTGACTGTATTTCTGCTGCAAGTTTCCTCCCAAGGTCTTAACATATAGGAGCTGTTGACAGATGTGCAGCTGCTCTGGTTTGTCTTCAGTGTTCCAGCCAGTTTTGGGGGCTATAGTGTCTGGGTCATTAGCAAATGGAAGCAGGGAATTCGCTGACGATGTCAGTGGGTATTCTAGCCACATTTGTTTTGAATATGATCCCTCATCCTTTTTTTTCTTCTCCAAAATTGGAAAAGCCATTCTTTTATTTACTTGTCTCTCTAAGAGTTGCCTGATATTAGGGCCAAGGAAAGAAAGGCCACTCTCCTTCATAGGCTTGGTTGCAGAGTCTCCCCAGAGATAAGTCTTTGGTGGATGAAAGGAAACATGGTCTTTTCGAATATCAGAGTGTGATAACATGGGGAGAAACAATGTTGGGCAGGCATTAGCCTCCCAAGAGGAAAATTCTGAAATAGAGAAGCTTGAATGGTTAGTGCCTGTCACTGTTGGCACATAAGAGGCCAACCCACCAGAGCACTCTGGAGACGAGTTCTCAGGGACAGTCTTCCATGAGATTGGTATCATTTTAGACTGAGTCACAGTTAAAGTGCAGCCTGGCAGTGGTGAGGCAGACAGGGTTGGTGGTGTGCAATGACAAGTAAATGAATCAGTGAGTTTCATTGTGTGGGACAAATATGGTGAGGGGTTCATATCTTGAGACATGGTGGGGTCAAGTGAGAAGATGGTGTTCAGAGACAAAGCAGGATCTGGTTGTAGAAAACAATCTACTCTCTGAGTGTGATGTAGTGGGAATGGGGAGAAGGCAAGTGGTTGGGGAGGAAAATGGTCCATTGGGAATGTGGGATCCAAGGGGGAAAAGGGCTCTGGTGGCAGAGAGTCACCTGGAGATGAGGGTGAAAGAAAATCAACTACGGGGACCGACAGGTCGGGTGAGAGAATGGAGGACAGAGGTACAGAGGGCTCAGACAGAGAGTCTGGTATTGGGTCTTCTGGAGGCTGTGCTGAGAGGTCCAGAGTGAAAGATGAAGCAGTCACAGGTGCTGTGGAAGCCACAGGGGACACACAGGGAGCAGCATCTTCCACGAGCTCCCCAAACAGCAGCCGACTGACCTCAGCAGTTGCTCTATTACACACCTCACAGGAGGTATCTGGACATAACATGTGACGAAAGCGGATGGTATCATGACGCTGGCCAAAGGGGCTGCAAAGATAGGAGGACGACAGTTGCAGCCAGGACCAAAACAAACATGGGAGCCTGGCAGGTCTGGCAAAGCTAGAGGCATCCACGGGATACAGTCCTTTCACAATGCCCTACTTCCCTAGTCTCCCAATACACCTTTTATTCATTCCCTCAAGGACTTCACATTCTCTTTTCTATGGTTTTCCCTCCCATATCAACCCCAGACCCCACTGAGGCCCTTGAATTGCATAAGTCCTGGTAGAAAGATAAATATAGGAAATACAGTGAAGTTTAGTCTAGTCACCTTTTTAAAATAGAAAACAGCTTTCTTGCCTCTTCTACTTCTCTCTGGCATGTTCTCCAACCTAGGGAAATGGAGAATGGGTTATAGCTGAGTGGTGAAGATAGAAGCAAAACAATCTTAGAGGAGGGTGAGTAATGTTCCTTTAGTAATACTCTTTGTAAATTAGATGTGAGAGGCCCAAGAAATAGAATACAAGGTCAAATGGTCAATGACAATAATAACAAGGCTAACATATGTATGCTGTTTAATCATTCACAAAATGCTTCTACATATTTTATCCCACGTGATATTATAAACCACTCTGTGAGAGACAGAGACAAATGGTGATCTCAAGGGAATCTGAACATCAGGAAGTTAAATATTTGTCCAAGAAACAGAAGTGTGACCCCAAACCAACCAATAGTCCTTCCACAATACCCACACACCCACCGCTTGGGCTATACCCATTGCCTGGGCCTATCACCAATTCACGCCGTGGAGGGACAGAGCAGAGAGTCTGAGCAGTGTCTCAGGTTCTAACTGCCTTCCCATGTGCCTGTCCTCTGAGGGCTCTGTTTTCTGAGAGAATGTATCTAGCAACTGATACCCTTAGAGATCATAAACATGGGATCTCATGGAAGGAAGAGAAAGGGTCAACCTTTGAGAGCTCAGGTAGAAACAGTAGAACCTTACCTTTAAATATTCTATCTTTCCTTCTCCTTTTGACTCTGCTTTGACACTGAGGGGGAAAAGAGAAGAAGGAGAATGAGAAGCTAGCGCTCAGTTCTCTCGCTCCTCTCTCTAGAAAACTGCAGACATTCATTATCCATGAATAATAGGACTCTGTTTTAATTAATAGAATTTTTGTTCCTTTTATTCACTTTTAAAGATGATAAAATATTTTCAATTTTTCCTTCTTTGAAAAACTCAGAGAAGGACTATGCCTATGAGAACCATACTTGATGTTCTCAGTCAGTAGTCCTTTGCTCTACTCAAGCAGGCATAGAATCCAAAACTAAGTCACATCTCTTCTCCAGCAGATAGGACACTGTATCACAGGGACAGAGCTCAGGCTCTAGCCTCTGCTGCAGGGGCTCAGCACTGTTCTCCTAATAGACGCAACACCAAAGAAAGCTTGGACAAGTGACACTTGACATGGGAATGTGACTGGTGATCAAGTTAGGGGGACTTTCTTCTGCAGGGATCCTGAACTCTAAATAATCTAATCCAGGACCATAGAAGCACTGTGTTTGGGATTTTATCCTGGAACCTTCCATCACACCCAGATGGTCTGTGAGCTTCAGGTGGAAACCTTAGACTGCTGAACACCTACCCCTGCCCGGCACCCTCCCCTAGAAGGTGATGTTCTGTCTTCTCCATAGACATCCAAAATATTCTTTGAGCCAACCAAACTCATTTAGTAATGTGGGGAGAGTAACAAGAAAATAAAGAGTTCATCTCTGAGGGCAACTTCCAGTTCCAACACTGACATGTAAAGAGCTTGGAAATCATCACATCTTACAACAAGGAAAAAGCTGAATAAATTGAAAATCAACAACTCTTCTTGGACTCATCAAAGAATTTAGGTCACAGGACAAACTACCACCCAAAATCAGGATAGACAGGTCAGTACAGAGAATCACAACCGAGGTCAGCTTACCTGGAGCAAAAGACTCTAGAACCATAAACTGGTAGGAACACTCAAATGGTCACTTTGAAAAATTGTTGGGGGCTGAATTGGACTAGCATGGCAGTGAGAAACTCCTGCGGTCACAGTCTTAGGGGATCCCCCACATTTTCATGGATTTTACCTCCAGGAACCACACCAGGTCCTCACAGTTGAGCCAAGAAAAAAAACTCATATTTCTGGCAAGGAGTGGGGGACAGTAACTATTTTGAAATAGCCCCAAGCGTTCTTCATAACAAAGGCTTACTCAGCAGGAGGAAAGGCTTTAACAGAGCCTTATCCCACCTGGGGGAAGGGAAATTACCCAGCTGCAGCAAATAATCCGAGAAATTGAGCAATATGAAAAAGAACGTGGCATCAGGATTGGAGGAAGACTCATTAACAACCTACGGTATGCAGATGACACAACCTTGCTTGTTGAAGGTGAAGAGGACTTGAAGCACTTACTGATGAAGATCAAAGACCACAACATTCAGTATGGATTACAACTCAACATAAAGAAAATAAAAATCCTCACAACTGCACCAATAAGCAACACCATGATAAACAGAAAAAATACTGAAGTTGTCAAGGATTTCATTTTACTTGGATCCACAGTCAACGCCCATGGAAACAGCAGTCAGGAAATCAGATGACATATTTCACTGGGGAAATCTGCTTCAAAAGACCTCCTCAAAGTGTTTAAAAGCAAAGATGTCACTTTGAGGACTAAGGTGCACCTGACCTAAGCGATGATATTCTCAGTCACCTCATATGCATGCAAAGGCTGAACAATGAATAAGGAGGACTGAAGAAAAATTGATGCCTTTGAATTATGAAGTTGGTGAAGAATATTTGACTTTCTCTTGGACTGCCAGAAGAATGAACAAATCTGTCTTGGAAGAAGTATGGCCAGAATGCTCCTTAGAAGCAAGGATGGTGAGACTTCATCTCACATATTTTGGACATGTTACCAGGAGGGACCAGTCCCTGGAGAAGGACATCATGCTTGGTAAAGTAGAGGGTCAGCAAAAAAGAGGAAGACCCTCAAAGAGATGAATTGACACAGTGCAACAATTGTGAGGATAGCACAGGACCAGGCAGTGTGTCGTTCTGTTGTACATAGGGTCACTATGAGTCGAAACCAACTCGATGGCACCTAACAACAACCACAGTCCCCTCTCACCTTCCTATCTCACCTAAGGGGGGGAGTGGTTAAAGACACAGACTCGATATAAGAACGGAAACAATGTTCTTACAGAAACTTAAAGATACAAGGGAGGACAAAAACAAGGACACAAGATGAAATTGAAACCTTTGACACCTACAGCTACAGGAAAAATTAAACACAGCCCAACTCCTAGCCAGGTTAACATAAACCCTCATACACTAAAGGCCTGTTTACCTTAGTTCCTATTACCCAATACATCATATCTAGCTTGCAACAAAAAAAACACGAGGTATGCAAAAAGACAAGAAAAAACAGTCTGAATAGACAAAGCAAGCATCAGAACTAGATGCAGATATGGCACAGAGTTTGGATTTATCATACATGAAATTTAAAATAACTATGATTAATTGTGTGAAGGAGTCTAATGGAAAAAGTAGACAGCATACAAGAACAGATGGGTAATATAAGCAGAGAGATGGAAATTCTGAGAAAAATTCAAAGGAAATGCTAGAAATAAACAGCACTAAGAGAAATGAAGAATGTCTTTGGTAGACTCATCAGTAGATTGGATATGATCAAGAAAAGAATAAGTGAGCTTGAAAATATGTCTGTAGAAATTTCCTAAACTGAAACGCAAAGAGAAAATAGAATGAAAAAAAGAGTATCCAAGAACTGTGAAACAATTACAAAAGGTGTACTATATGCATGATCAGAATACTAGAAGGAGAAAACAAATGGAACAGAAGGAATATTTGAAGTAATAATGGCCAAGAATTTTCCAAAATTAATGGGATACCAAATCACAAATCATAGACACTTAGAGAACACCAAGCAGGATAAGCACCAAAAAAACTATACCTAGCCATATCATATTCAAAATGCAGAATACCAAAGACAAAGAGAAAATATTCAAATTGAAGGGGGGAAAAACTTATCTATA